CACCAAGTCATATTTACTGGTTAGAATCAAGTCAAAGATAGTTAATCCTCTAGTTTCTTTCTCCACTTTTTGTCTCTACTCTTATCCTGTTTTGATTCTTACCAGGTAAAGTGCTGTTGAATTGATCTATTCCATTTGTAAAACATACAGTGCTGCCTAAGGATGACTTCACACACTACAGAGCCAGGACAATTTGGTTACACAATTTTTGTTTCCAAACACTATGGATCCATTATTGGAATACATGTATAACCTACATCTTTGTCGACCTGTATATGATGCATGAATTCCATTTTAAGTTGACATACACAAAACATAATGTGTAAAGCAGCCCTTAAAAAGCAAAATGAGTGTGCACAATTGGTCAAACATTCTGTGTATGCCAGGAATTATGTTATCATTCAATAAATCTGTGGAAACATATAGAAAATGCTGTATCTTCACATTTCCTGTCTTCTGAAAACTGTAAACTGTTTGAGGTAACATCACGCTTGGCATTGCTTATGTTACATCCTCTAATAGAAGCTGACATTTCAGTGTGTATTTCCTGCAAGCAGTGAAAAGTTTGATACTGTTTTATGGCTGTCTTCTCAGTTTTACTCCTTACGTATTACCATTAACTCTGAGCTGTAACATTTACTTGCATGTGCCTTTACACTGTTTGTATGTATTTCTCTTTGGCAAGAGATGAGACTGCTAACAAGCTTGGCTTTCTGAAGCCATCAGCAAGTGATGAAAGGCATCTCCTGCCTAAAGCATCCTCGGGTCACAGCTGTCACACTCACTGTGATTTACTATTGTCACAGGCTGTTGTTCCTGCTCATTCCTGAGATCTCTTTCCTCCAACTCATGGATCTCAGCATTCAATTATATAAAGGGTATCTAATGTTCATCTCATTTCAGAAAGGGCATAGACTCATCAGGTGGGATATGATATCAAACACTCGTGTCCCTTCTTCATGGGTATCTCATACTCTCCTCACTTCATGCTTAATGGTTTGGCTTTATTATTGTGCTTGCTCCACTGCTTTGAAAGGGTTAAAAATAGAAAATTAAGGTTTGTTTTCAGTGTAATTCCACCCTCTTATCTCTGGAAAATGAAGCCCTGGTTAATAGCAGAATGGCATCTGAAGCTTTGCAAGTTCAAGATAACAGTGCTGGTTCAGAAGAACGTGGTGAATTGCAGGGAAAGGTCAGCAAGAGATCTGAGCTGGCAGAGCTCTTCAAATCAGCTTTCCTACTGAGACAAATTAGGGAGTTTGTCATTTTAAGAATCTCACAAGCTAGCAGACAGAAATTAAAACACGGTTTGGACAATTTCAGCTCTCACTTGCATCACTGCAAGTTCAGAATAAGAGCAGTGAAATTATTTTAACTGTTGTACCGAGAAATAGGCATCTCCTTTCCTCCTCCTGCTAATTTCACACATTGGTGCAATTCAGAGGCCAGAATTAATTCCATATTCTGCAACCCACAAGAATGTGTTCTGAAAGCTAGGTAGCTAGACTCCATATTCTTGCTGATCGGCTTTCACCTCTAGAACTACCCTCCCTTGCAAACCTCCAAAGCATTCCACATTCTAGAAATACAGTAGGACTTTTTACAACCAGACTAGCTTTGTGTACCAGGTATAGGCTGAACAGAGTAAATTACGATTTATTCCATTTAACTAGGTGATCAGTAATTAACACATTCATTACTAGCCCTTGGGAATACTGGTCTATAAACTTGATATATTACATAATTTAACCCCTAGTGCATTCCACAAGATAGATAAGCACATGTTGACTTTTTCCCCTCTCTCCCTATAAGAGGAATGAAGACAAGCAAAAAAGAATATGGCTAATTAATGGTTTTGATATACTGAATTATAAAATGGAGGAATTTTTCACTAAAAACAAAACAATTTGTCCTAGCATTCTGGTGATGGAAGTGAGTACTGATTCTTCAAAACTCAATTTAAATGCTGTTTGAGGATCAAACTACATGTTACATTAAAACGTAGCATGCAGCTCTGTGCATTGTTTTACTCTGATGGAGGGATATAAATAATATGTGCTAAATTCTTCTTTCTTATCAATTTAGGCTGTCTCCACTTGACAAGACATTTTGATGTGTAAGAATAATTTCACAGTATCTTTTCTTTGCCTGCAAAAATTAGACTACTGAAGATTTGGACTCTCACTTTAATGTCTGTTGGGGGCCCAGGCCACCTTTTGGACTACAACAAGAAGAGAGGCAAGGTTTGGTGCATTTCTATACTGCTGACTTAGTGCAAAACAGTAAGAAGTTTACAGCAGACCCTCCTCCTCCCTCATACCAACAAGACAGTCTTCAACATCCTCATGAAAGAAGGGAGGAAGAAGACCAGACACACCTCTGCCAGGAGCCTTTTACATAAGGAAGGGGACACTGCCAAGAAGGCACAATTTCTGGTGACAGTCATCTTTGCCTCCCTTCATATGGCCTGGCAATCCAGAGAAGCAAGGCATCTGAAGAATGGATAGTATGGGCTGATGTTCTGGTGGAGAGACACTGACATAATGAGGCCCCAAACCATGAAGGACAATATATAATAAAACTAGTACCTTGTACCTGGCTTGGAAAACCACAAGAAGTCAATGCAGGCCTACAGAACTGGGGTGATCAACCTTATTTACACCCATCACCAGTCTAGATGCTGTATTCTGTACCCAGTGTCAGCCTCAAGGGTAACCACACATAGAGTAATAGATCTTAGAAATCACCAGCACATGTACCAAAGGTTAGAGTGTCTCCCATCATGAAGCAATGTAGAAAAACTCTCTACTGGCATCAACAGCACCTTTATCTCTTCTTTCTCAAAGGACTTACTTTCAGGAAAGAGGAAAAAAGGAGTAAACCTCCCCTCGTGCAAAGATTCTAAACCAGAGTGGGCCTATATTCGTTCTATAGTATGAAGACACAAAGTTAGTTAGTATCTGCTTTAAAATTAATGTGCAGTTTGACACTGAATTCTTTATTACAAGCATCTTTGAACCACTGCACACCATCCATCAGAATGTCCACCAAGGATGCTAAGATGGTTACAGAGTGCTGTCCTCTGAAGATGCTGGCCAGAGAGACTGGCAAAACGTTAGGAATAACAACCTTCAGAACACGGCGAAAGAGCCCGAAAACCCGCAACAACCATTGGCTACAGATATCTTTGAAAGTGATTCATAATAGAGTCATGCAAACTGTTTTCTAGGTAGTTTAGGATAGCAATTTCCAGCAGGGTTTGGCTGGATTTGGCAGACATCCAGATATTAATGGACATGGCCAAGAACTGAATCTTCTGACAAACACTGTGCTGTTTCTTTGAAACAACTACCTGCTGGAGATACAGCACGAAGTTAGGAACGGTGGGGGAGGTCATCAGGAGTTTTGGAGCTTTGTGTCACCAATCTGCGGATGACACCCAGCTCCATCTCTCCTTTCACCCTTCTGAAGGGTATGCTTTCCCATCCCTTGAGTGCTGTCTGGGTGCCATGCTGGGATGGAGAAGAGATAACAAACAGAGGATGAATCTAGACAAGGAGGAAGTCCTGTGAGTGGGTGCCCCCAGTGTTTGAGGTTTGGATGCTTCTCTCTCTTTTGGGGAGACTACTCTCCCCATCAATGATGAGATGCACAGTCTGGGCATAGTATTGGACCAAGTGCTATCTATGGAATTTCAAATAGTGTCTGTGGTCTGTTCCACCTACTTCTATCTTAGGTAGACCGCCAAGCTGTGTCCCTACCTTGATACTGGGTCCCTCACTATGCTGGTCTATGCACTGGCAATCTCGAGATTAGACTACTGTAACACTCTTTACATGGGACTGCATATGAGACTGCTACAGAAATTTCAACAGACCCAAAGTATGGTGGCCAGAGTATTGTGTGGAGTAAATAAATACCATCGTATCTCGCCATTCTGGTTGTCATGCATTGATTATCTGTCTAGTTTCCATGCCAGCTTCAAGGCGATGATTTTGGCATACAAGGCCCTAAATGGTTTGGGACCTCAATGCCTGGCAAAACTCACATTCTTCCAGTGAGATCTGCTTGACCTACTCAATCATTCCAGGCTGGATGGTTGAGGAAACTGACCCCAAGAGAGCCCCCAAAAAGAGAAGACCATCTTTGGAATAAACTCATGCCCATGAATCGGCTGGCCCCTTCATTGGGGACATTTAAGGACACTTTGAAGCATGGCTTTTTAGACAGGCATTTTCAAGATGCAACACCAACAGAGTGCAGAGGTTTTTTCAACTCTTTAAGTCACCAATTCTGCCATCTTGTTTTTACTGTTTTCTATGTTGATTTTCTTTTTAAGTTCAATTAGTTGATATATGTTTATTCTAATTTTTATATTGTTATGTTTATGTGGTCATTATTTAATGTGTCATTATTATTCTATTTTAAATAAATAAATAGTTACTCCACTAGGATGACGTTTGCTACTGCTATTGCATCAGAGTAAGAAAGTTGGAAGAGGTTTGGTTACTTAAAGATATGGGTGTTATTTGCATTTGGATCAACCATGCCTGATGCCCAGTTTGAACTCAGACTTAAGAGTTACACTGGGTCAGATCACTGTTCCACAAAGTCCAGTCATTTCATCTCTGTCTAGCTGTGATTCTTCAGGGTTTCAGGCAAAATTCTTTCCTAACCCTACAAAAAGTCTGTTCATGTTCCCTGCTGGTCTTCCTTCCAAATTCTAACCAGGCCCAACCCTGCTTAGCTTTCAAAATCAGAAAAGAGCACCTCTGTTCAGGGCAATATGGAGCCACAATACAAAAATAATAAAATCAAAGTAAAAATAAAATAACAGAAATAAGGAAATTCACGATCTCTATATTAATTAAATGGGTCTCCTTAAGTGGGGCAATCTTATTTTACAATGGAAGATACATATCTGAGAAAGAAGGGATTTGCTGAGAAAGATAACATAATTATTGTTTGTTTGCTTGCTTGGTTTCAAAGGCAAAATTTACCTTAATAACAGACGTCTCAACTCTTGAGGGAGGACTCTGTACTTGTGCTGCAGCTGCCATGTTTGCAATCGTGCTAAGGTGGTTCATCTGGCTCATTGCCATTGTGACAGATGCTGGAGGCAGGCTGACAGGAATGAGTGGGTGGGGCATCATCATAAAAGGGAGCTCCAGACCTGGGATGGGGAGGAAATAAAGAAAACATGCATGTATGATTTTTAAACATGGAATGTTACAAACATTCCTGACTGTAAACAAAATCAATTTAACTATTCACCAAATAATAGTGAAGTTTTTCTCAAGTATTCCTAAATTCAGAATTGTCCCTCCGGCAAAGAAATGTACTTTGAATTGCTCTTACATCAGACTATATAACAGAGAAAACTATGATTAGTGCCCAGTGGTGGTAAAGGTGATAACTTCATTACTTTACAAACATCTCTCTCCAAATAGAGTATAATCCCCACAGTCTAATTCTCCTCCTTTGCTGAAGAGTATGCAGCTTTAACAGGACTGCTTGACTAATACTGGTTGACAAGATTCTTGATATGAGTGTTTAAGGCTTCCAGTTTACGGCTCCCAAACTATGTACAGAAAAACTGTCAAATTTTTGTTTTAAAGGAAACTTTATAAAATAGGCCAAGTCACTGATAGTTAGGCATTCTGGCTTCATATGATCACCCTGACAACAGTGATTAAGACTTGTGTATTAGGAGTGCATTCTTTTGTGATCCCAAATCTGCGCACTTGTAGGTTTTGTCCCTTTAGAGAAGTACTTTGGAGGATTTTACTTGGATCATTAGATTCCCCAGCCTTACTTCCGAATACTTATTTGTAAAAGAAAGGAAGGAAGGAAGGAAGCAATGTGTCCCCCTGCTTCCTGGGAATCATTCTTCAGGAAATGCCCTCTAGAGCAGTGGTCCCCAACTTTTCCCAAACCGTGGATCGGTTGGGGGGGCAGGGTCAATGCACAGCACCCCCTGGGCTCGCAGGTGGGCAGGGGCAGGGCACACGTTCGCACATGTGTGTGGGACAGGGCGCCATCACTGGGGGCGTGGGCGTGCTCACAGGTGGGGTGCACGCTCACGCATATGCGGGTGGGTGGGGTGCACTCATGCGTTGGCAGGGAGCACTCCCACGCATGCACAGACGAGAGAGGTGTGCTCGCAGGTGGGCAGGGCACCCATGTGTGCAGGTGGGCGTGCATGGGGGAATGTGTGTGGGGGGGAAGAGATTTGTCTTCGCGGCACCATCCTGCCAAGGCCATGGACTGGCACCGGGAATGGGTGTGGGGGGGAAGAGATTTGTCTTCACGGCACCGTCCTGCCAAGGCCATGGACTGTCACCGGGCCATGGACCGGGAGTTGGGGACCCCTGCTCTAGAGGATCTAGTGGGCAGAAAGGCTACAACTCCTAGAAAGGCATCAGGACAGGAGTGTTTTTGTTGTGTTCTGTTTTGGTTTGTGTGTGTGAATTTTAAACAAATCAAGGGGGGGGAAGAGATTTGTCTTCACGGCACCGTCCTGCCAAGGCCATGGACTGTCACCGGGCCATGGACCGGGAGTTGGGGACCCCTGCTCTAGAGGATCTAGTGGGCAGAAAGGCTACAACTCCTAGAAAGGCATCAGGACAGGAGTGTTTTTGTTGTGTTCTGTTTTGGTTTGTGTGTGTGAATTTTAAACAAATCAAGAACAGGAAGTAAAAGCAAGGGAAGTCAACAGTGCAGTAAAAAAACACCAAAGCCCTGCTCTATAGGAAACGAAGGTGTGCTGTAAGTGGGTTGTTGTTGTTTTTATTTGTGGGCTGCAATTCCCAGAATTCTTAGAGAAATCGAGGAACCACAGTTTAAAAATACAAGCCCTCCTGCATATACATCAGACTGTGCAACATCTTGCCTCCTCCAGGCCAAAACAAATTTCAGATCCTTGTCTTAAAGTAGTTACTCTGGTTAGGAACTAAATACTTGCTTAGTGCCCAATCTAAACATGGATTAATTGCATTCTGTGGAATTCCAAGGCCTGGTCAACTTCATTTTAAAAATGTGAGATTTTTTTCTATGACTTTTAATTAATCGTCTTATTAAACGAGTTACAGCTTTATTCACCTATCAGGGGTTCGAGCACTACAATTATTCTGTACACTCCCTCCCCAAGACTCTCAAGTCAATTTGTTTTTAGCTTTAATATTGTCTTTTAATGATGTAAGCTACCTCTTTAAGTTGATTGTCTTTAAATATTATCTTTTAATGATGTAGACCACCTTGGGTCCTTTTAAAGGAGAAAGGTGAGGTAAAAATATTTTAAATAAATAAATATCTCATCATCATCATCAAACTGCAGAGCTGAAAGAATGTCTCTTCCCACATGGAAAATCTTGTGGGATTGCCTACCTGAACCTTGGAATCATTTCCAAGAACTCTTTGCCATGTATCCCTATCAAGTAAAATGTGGTGGTTGAAACTGCCTCTTGGTCATGTAATGTTCATCTCATGAATGCCCAGCTGACACTCAATTTATCTGTCTTGTTTTTAATTGTCTCAGGCTTCAGGTTTTGTTGATTTCCTCAAAACAATTTTTTAAAGATGTGCTGTAAAATTGTGTGTTGTTTGTTTATGACCTTAGCCAGCTTTATATTCTCTGCTGCAAATCTTTTTATGCCATGTCATTTGGTTGTTGCTGTTATTGTTTTTAAACCCTTAGTTGCACAAGAGGATTACTACTGGAAGCCATCAAAGAACCATGTTATTGGAAAAGTATGTATAAACGAGTGCTCCAAAACCACAGACACAACAGCAACAGAAGTATTTAAGAGTGTCAGAAACAGATTGTGAAGATTTTGACTCTCAGTTTATGACAGAAATAGTATTTACATTTATAACACCTTGTTTATTTCAATATGAACCTCTGAGAAAAGCAAAATTAAAATGTCCTTAGAAAATGTGAAGAAAAAAATTATTTCTGTGGAAAAACAGCATGTCAAATATGGAATTCCAAATTTGTTTTCTTTATTCGTGGTGTGTGTGTGTGTGTTTTTTTTTTTTAGCATGGGGAAGCTTTAAAACATGGAATCCTTAACCAAAAGTGTAAAATGCTTGAATCTCAGGAACTGTGCACCAACTTCTTTATCTTTGGATGTAGATCAGCTCTCAAGTATATATTTATAACAGGTTGAGCTAACTTTCAAATAAATAGCAGAGTTCCTATTTGTTGTCACTAAACTAGATTACAATGGACAATCATGTACACAAAACCCTTCAGTGATTGTTAGCATGTAAAAAATAAGAAACAGATGTTTCTTTCTACTTATACATAGTCTAGTCAAGTTTTATTGCAATGGCCAAAATCCTGTTCAGTGACGAGACAGCCTTGGGGAGGGAACCTTTAATGCCTCAAACTCACCATTGTGCAGCAGTGGTAGCAGCGATATTTGGACAATAAAGTTCTCCCCCATTCCAAGGACTGCAAACTAGAGATGGCACAAGCCTTGGTTTAGAGATCTGTGCCGATTCATCGCTGTGGTACCACAGGTGCCATGCCTGCCCCCACTGGCTCCCCCACTCACCAGCCAGCGCATGCTGCTCTTTCCTTCCTTTTTGTGCAATCATCATGTCTCAGCAGAAACATGTTCTTCCCTCTGCCTTCTCTGGCAGCCGCCCACTCAGATGAATAGGCAGAGAAGGAATTCCTGAAGTGCTCCCTCTGAGTGGGCAGCTGTCAAAGGAAGCAGAGGAAGGAAGCATGCACTCCTGCTGCGAGTGACCAGTGCTTGTCGGCTGATAGGGCAAGGGAATTCACAATATCTGCGGTGCCATGCCAATGAATCAGCATGAACCTCCAAACTAAGGTTTGTGCTCATATCTACTTCCCCAGGTTGAAAGGGATCCCTAGGGACCCTGGGTGCAGGGACAGAAAACATTTAATTAAAGATCAAAGTCCATAGCCAATGACATACATCATCAGCCATATATGCATAGAGCTGCATGAGCAGGATTCCAACCAGTATGTCTTATAGTTAAAATACCTGCCACTGCCGTTAAATTATTATTTATACAGATTTTCATGTGGAACTATTTCCAGGGTTATAACTATCTTAGTTTGCTGCAGGAATGGGTAGTCATGTAGCACTTTAAAAATGTAGACATTTTACTTTTATGGACTATAGGCCACTTTATGAAGCAGATTACAGTGCACAAATCAACATAAATAAAGATTGATACAGTGCCACATGATTTAGTTTTATAAAATACAGTAAAATACTGTCCTTTTTGTTATATTGTATAAAAGTTTACAAGTTATTGCATGTTTATTTTTTAAGATATATACTCTAACAAAATACAAAAGATAGGAATTTGGGGGGAAAACCCTGGAATATTAATGTGGAAAATGCCAACCCATACCATTTGGCAGAAGGTGGTTCTGTTGGAGAGAGTTGAGAGGATGATTAACTGGAAGATTATGCTGTCCAGACAAGTTGGGGTGGTTTACAGAGGCCTGCACTGCTTGGATTGGGGGAGACTGGAGTTTTTCTCTATCCCAAGAACCATCATTGCTTCCTGTGGGAAGGAATATAAATTACTGGGATGCAGGATGATTTTAAATTTGCAATGAATTAATTTGCAAACAAGGATATCAGGTCAATTCCATCTTCAGTTGCTTAATCCATTTTGGAGGAGGTGGAAGTTGAAGTTATTTTATTATGAACCTATTTTCTAATCCAGGACTGTCTACTTATTAGAAATTTATGGCAGGGTTGTGATGGAACCTACTGTACATAACTGCATTGCACTTCAAACAGGGTAGAGATTGAATTACTAAGGATCACCTATGAAAAGATGGATTGGTTACAGTACAGCAGCAATTTTAGGGATCTGATCCCATCACTTACATATTTCTTTTACTCAGAACAACAATTTTCAGCAGATCAAATTAGATGATACAGATCGCAAATCATTAGAAACGAAAGCATACCACTCTCCTAGCAATATGATTACTTCAGATTTATGTGCCTGAGAAATAAACTTAGAAATACATCCCAAGTTTACTTCTTATGACCAATCACAAAGTAAAGCACATTAGTTTGGAAACTAGGGGTGAGGTGGGGAAAGTTCATGCAATGTAAAACTTGAGGAATCCCAGTTTCTATTAATGTGTTGTTACTACAGTGGACCCTCGACTTA